CCCCCCCCAAGCATTGCAATTGTCCCTTTCTCTCTTCTTAGAATAATCTCTTCCAATAAAGTCTCTCTACCTAAATCTAGGTGTGAGGAGGTGGTTTGTTTGTTTTTTGACAGTTGAACATTCTCCCATGGTAATTGCCCTCCTCCCTTACTGCATGCAGTACAGCAGACTCTTCCCCAACAATCCTTTGCAAATAATCCTTTCAAAAAAAGGCCTCATTTGCCTAAATCCAGATTTGTTTTTTATTTGACAGTTTTTAGTTCCAGGATTCCAACTGAGATTGGGCCTCACCTACAGACCCTTGCCATTCCCACCCAGATAAAGGCATCTTGTGAGTCTTTTGAACTCGTCTTTTTTTTCAGGGATTCCAGGATCCTGTGGTGAGTTCTACTTTCAAACCAGTGCTCCTGAAATCATGTCTGTTGAAGGTGGTGGTAAGGAGTTACTTTGATTCCTTTTGACAAAGAGGCCTTTCTTTGGCCCTTATATAAAGTCTCTTCTTTTTCTTCCTCTCTCTGGTTCTCTCTCCCTCTCCCTCTCCCTCTCCCTCTCCCTCTCCCTCTCTCTCTATCGACCATAGATATATTGGTTTATTCCTGGACTCAAAATTCTATTGCATTTATTTAAAGATCTATCCTTATGCCAATACCATGTTGTTTTGATTACTATAGCTTTTGTAGTAGATTTTGAAATCAGGATTTGTGAGAACTCCAACTTTGTTCTTTTTCAAGATTGTTTTGGTTATTCCAGGTCCCTTGCAGTTAGAGCAGCTCTTCCATTTCTGTTTAAGAAAAAAAAAAAAAAGGCCATTGGAATTTTGATGGAGATTGCATTGAATCGATAGATCAATCTGAGGAATATCGACATCTTAACAATGTTAAGTTTTTCAATCCATGTTATGAGTGTCTTTTCATTTACTTACGTCCTCTCCATTTCTTTCAGCAGTGTTTTATAGTTTTCAGTGTAATCTTATACCTCCTTAGTTAAATTTATTCCTAAGTATTTCATTCTTTTTGATGCTGTTGTAATAGAAATTGCTTTCTTAATCTCTTTTTTAGATTTTTCACCATTAGCATATAGAAATACCACTGATTTTTGTGTGTTGATTTTTGCCGAATTTATTTATTAGCCCTAATAGTTGTGTGTTTCTAAATAGATCCTGTGGTATTGTGTACATATAAGATTATGTTGTCAACATAAGAAATGTCCAAACCAGTAGGGAATTTTTATAAGAGTTCATTTGAGCCAAACTGATGACAATTGCTGGAAAGTAAGATCTCAAATGCTCTGCAGAATGGCAGTTTGCAGCTTCTTTTATGCATTTGAAATTAAGGAAGGGGTTTACGGAAGATTACAGGAAGGTGGGAGAAAGCAAGGCAGGGACTTGATTACAGGATAGGTAACAAGATTATGTGCTCTCTTGAGGGTGGTTACACCTTCAAGGGATATTACGTCTGGCACTTCAAAGGTGTGTTAACCAAGATGCACAAGAACAATGGACAGGGCTTGCTTAAAAACCTTTCACTAAAGAAGTTACAGGCCTGGGGCATGACTACCCACCATGACCTGCCCAGTTAGGAATTTATGATTTATTACAGCACTCTTTTTCATCTACATGTCATCTGTGAATAGAGATAGTTTTACTTCTTTCTTTTTTATTTGGATACCTTTCATTATTTCTTGCCTAATTGCTCTAGCTAGAACTTCCAGTATAATGTTGAATAGAAATGGTAAAAGTGGGGGCAGCCAGTTAGCTTAGGTGGTTAGAGCGCAGGCTCATAACACCAAGGTTACCGGTTCAATTCCCACATGGGCCAGGGAGCTGTGCCCTCCACAACTAGATTGAAGACAACTACTTGACTTGGAGCTGATGGGTCCTGGAAAAACACACTGTTTCCCAATAAAATTTCTTAAAAAAAAAAAAAGGCAAAAATGGGATTCCTTATGTTACCAGACTCAGTGATAAGGGTTGGTGAGGAGAAAAACATACTTTATTCTAGATGCCAGCAGCTGGAGAAGATGGCAGACTAATGTCCAGAAAAAAACCCACCTTCCCTGAACTGAGAATAATCAAGAGGTTTTATAATCAGGCAGGTAGGTGGGGGAAAGACCAAAGAAAAGTGGGAGTTGGTCAGGTAAGTTTCAGGGCTGACAGTTGAGAAATTGCCCCCCCACACACACACACACACAAGCCTGGTCTGCTTCGTAAGATTCTCTTGAACTCAGCAGCCGTGGCTAGAGTGTGTCATGTGTCATCAGCAAAAGCTGCAGGGGAGTTACAGCGGTGGATCTCGGAGTCCGGGCACCTGAGAACTGAGAAATTGTTCTTTCTAGGTTGGTGCTCTGCTGATAAATTAGATCAATGAGGTATGCATAGTCTTAAGAAAGGGAACTAAGCAGAGTTATAAAATCAGTGAAAAGGAAAAACAAAGAGAAGACAGTTGAATAGCAAGCTATGAGGTGACTGAACTAAGTTATTAATTTCCCGTTTCACTGTTACACTTATACTCTTAAGGGGAAAGCTTTCAATCTTTCACCATTGAATATGTTAGCTGTCTGTTATTATGTTGAAGAGACCCCTTTTTATTTTTAGTTTGTTGAGTATTTTTTATCACAAAAGATGGTTGGATTTTGTCAAATGCTTTGTGTCCATTGAGATGATTATGTGGTCGTTTTCCTTCATTCTATTAATGTGGTATATTACATTGATTGATTAAAAAAGCAAGGGCGGGGCGAGTGGCTCAGTTGGTTAAGAGTTGGCTTGGGAGCATGAGCTCTGAGCAGCAGGGCTGCCGGTTCGGTTCCCACATGGGCCAGCGACGCTGTGTCCTCTACACCTAAGATGGTGAACAACAGCTCTACCTGGAGCTGGGCTGCCATGAGTTGCCAGTGATCATGTAGGCTAAAGTGGAGCTGCAGTGGGCTGCCATGAGCTACCGAGAGTTGCTGGCAGCCAGTGTGAGCAGCCAGCAGCCAGTGTGAGCAGCTGGCAGCTGGCATGAGCTGCCATGAGCAGCCGTCCAATGGCCGGCGACTGATCTACCTCAGCCAGGAAGAGCTCAATGATCACATAATACCAACATGGGCCAGTGAAGTGACATCCTCCACAACTAGACTGAAGAACAAAAGGACAGAAACTTGTCTGTTGCCCTTCCCCGATTCCCCAATAAAATCTTTGAAAAAAAACCACAACAAATCAAATACTGTTATTGGTTTCCTATTGATCTTTTAATTGGGGACCTGGAGAGGGGGTAATAGTTTATCTTTATTTAACCGTCCGTCCTAACCTGCTTAACTAT